TAGCTAGCTACCAACGCGTGACCGACCGAATGAATGAACCAACACGGGAACCAGCCCACCCATGACTAGCTCACGAACGGACGGCCGGACGAAGGAACAAATTCATTAACAAACACACCAGTGAATGAACATCTTTATGAGTGCGGTTCCTGCTTTGACAGTTTTAGCATCTCCATGGGTACCAGAGCTGAATGATGCATCATGTCTTGTCGAGGCTGGAGACATGCCTTGAATAAACAATTGTGGAATGGCTACCCGCTTTGTAATTGGCATATCGCTTGCACTTGCTTTCGGGTTGTTTGACTATGTAGCAAGAACTGCTGCTAAGTTCTGGTTGTAAGCTGTGAAGGCTCTGTACAGCATCACGTTCTCCTCACTCGACTGCCAAAACATTTTCTTTTTTTGTAAGTATACCGGGGCTGGCACACCCATTCTTTCAACCGTTGTTTATGTTGTTGGCGTCCTCTACAAATGGCTGGGGTCAACGTTGACAGCTTCAAGAAGGCCTGTTGAAATCACTTTTGCACTAGATCTGCTCGGGTGCATTCGGACTCTGTGCGCACCGCTTGGGGCACAGTCGGCACAGTGAACATCGAGGTGCACTCACAAAATGCTAGACTGCTAGATGACCATGACCAGCTGGGCAGCCTCGAGCGTCAGGAGAGTCTGCCAGAAGGAACTCAGGAGGTCAGCATAGATGTAGTCCAGAAGCCGAAGTTCCCTCTCCAGGAGAATCTCGGAGTTTTCTGACAATGGGGCGCTGGAGATCTCTGGCTGCTGCCTCTGCCTCGATCTCTCCACCTTCAAGCTGACACGGGTCGGGTCTTCGGGTTGAGGTCCAATCGCTCTGCGCTTTGTGAACGCCAGGTCCGGGACGGCTTGCGCAGAAGCATCCTCGGGCACCTGGCCGCTTCGCAGTTTGCCCAAGACTTCCTGGCTGAACATCTTCTTCAATGCTTGAAGGCTGCTGATCACATGAGCTACGACAGGGCTGTTGATCGCAAGCTGCTTCAAGAGTGGGTCCTGCTGAATAGCCTTCACGAGCAACTCTGCATAGCCTGCGAGACGAGCGACGTTCTTCAACTTCCGCATTTTCAGCTCCGCCTTTGGCTCTCCACCTGTGATCTTCCGCTCCCGAGTCGGCAGACCGCTTCTCCAAGACTTCTCCGGATCTCGGAGGCGAGGGCACATGCCTGTAGAGACATGGTGTCGTAGCATTCACAGAGGAGGCTGCCTTCTGCCCCAAACTGGAGATGGCACTCTGCAGTGCTGCAACAAGTGACGGCCAAAGCAGCAAGCACCGCAGGAGTAGCCTAGGCATGCCAGCGTAAGGAGGAGTGCCGCAATCGGGGTACATGCACCTGGCTTGCCTCAACGTGCCTGTGCCAAAAAGAGATTGGGGCCCGGTATGCGCAGCATGAGCACCCATGCCAGCATGCACTTTACAGCAAAGCTACATCCTACCCCCATCAAGCCCCTCAACCTGACTAAATCCCTCAAGCCCCCGAAACCCTAAACCCCCTGAACCCTAAACCCCTTAAAACATCCTAAACCATCCTAAACCTCTAAACCCCAAAACCCCTAAACCCCTAAACCCCAAGCCCCGAAACCCCGAAGCAGTAAGTGTCTCGAGGCTTGGGCTCAGCAGCGGCTGCACACCACCGGAAGCACTGCCTAGTAGGGGCCCTATACCCTTATACTATTGCGAGATAGGATTAGGGGGACCCTTGGGGATATAGACCCTCTCAATGAGGTCCCTTTTAAGAGAGCCAGAACTAGGGTTCAGAAGGGTCCCCTTTAAGGGGTCTCCCTAATGCTACCTCGGAACTTTGATTCCCTATATGGTATCTGAACCCTAAACCCTAAACCCTAAACCCTATGAATCCCTATATGGTATCTGAACCCTAAACCCTAAACCCTAAACCCTATGAATCCCTATATGGTATCTGAACCCTAAACCCTTTTAGGATCCCTTTCGTCCTTAAGGTGCCTCAGGTCCATCCGCTTGAGAGGATCCCCTCTCGGGGATCCCCCAAGGACTGGGCTCTTCTTTTAGGGGTTTGGGGTTAGGAACCTTACTTTAAGTCTTCTTTAAGTTAGCATAGTCTGGATTCTATAGTAATTAACTGGGTTCTTCTCTAGGAGCTTTAACTTAAGTTACCATAATCGGGGGGTCTATAGTGACTAACTGGGTTGTTCTGTAGGAACTTTATAACTTAAGTTATCATAATCGGGATCTCCAGTATATAACTGGGCTTCGTTAAATTGTGGTAGCTTCAAGAGGGAACCCCTACTGACCGTATCCTAAGTACTGAGTTCCGCGGTCCCCTCGAGCCGAGGTTAACTTTGCATGTAAGCTCGACATGAACGAACATACATTCACATACATAGCTGCACAATGCATGCATACATATCTACGTAGTGTAAGCATACTATACACACACACACACTTAAGCATGTGCATCATTGCATCATATGTGCATGTATATGCATGCATAGGACTCTCGCTCGCTCTCTCTCTCTCTCTCTCTCTCTCTCTCTCTCTCTCCCTCCCCATATTCATGTCCATATCCACCATTTTTATATCATTCTATTTCTACAGTCTACATATATATATATACATATCTAGGTATATATACATCCTTATCTATACATATATAAACTGAGCAGGTGTACTAAGTAGACACCTAACGAAAGCTCAAATGGATGGCCGCTGCTTTCGCTGCTTCTTCGATGTCTGCCGTGTGTATCTGCTGGTGGCACCCATCTCCAAAACAAGCGGCGCTTTACGGTATTGCAAGAGCGTACGTGGACACACTCTGCCAACTTCGAGCAGAACATCCTTCGCACAAGCCTACATTAGCTTCGGTCAGCTTTATAACGACGGGCGGAACCAGCATGCGATGTAAGTGGGTTGATGTCATAACATAACTATACTGACCCTAGCAAACTTGCAAATTTAGCTGTTTCTTCAGGATTAGTGTGGTCTTCTGATGATAACCCCCCCCCTCTCCGAACATCCTGAATCCACATTAGTGGCCGGGGGTCCGCCCCCTGCAAATCCTTTTTTTTTTTGGCGGGGGGCGGGGTGGCAGAGTAGTAGAACAAAAGTAATGCAGTAGAAGTACAGTGGTATTTCAGTAGAAGTCCAGTAGTAGTAGTAGTAGTAGTAGTAGTAGTAGTAGTGGTAGTCGTCGTCGTAGTAGTAGTAGTAGTAGCAGCAGTAGTAGTAGTAGTAGTAGTAGTAGTAGTGGTTGTAGTAGTGGTTGTGGTGGTAGTAGTAGTAGTAGTAGTAATAGTAGTAGTAGTATAGTGTAGTAGTAGTAGTAGTAGTAGTAGTAGGAGCAGCAGCAGCAGCAGCAGGAGTGGTAGTAGTAGCAGTAGTAGCAGTAGTAGCAGTAGTAGCAGTAGTAGCAGTAGTAGCAGTAGTAGCAGTAGTAAGTAG